GTGGGCTGGACGCTTCAGGGACGAGTTCTGCAGAGGGTTGGACACACGTTCAAAGCGATCGCTTCAAAGTGGTGACTGTTCAGCCAAGTGTTGTGGAAGGAGTGTGGAGTCTCAAAGGAGAGTGGGCCGCTCTCCTCTGAAGCTCATCAATCAACTCTTGATTAAACAACCACCACTTTGAATGTGTGTCCGGCCCTAAAGACGCCGAACTGTGGGGAGCACTGCGTTCAGCGCATTCTCCCGTAGGACCCTAGTAAACTCAGAGGATCCTTCCCCCGAACCTCAACTCACCCATCGCCCGCTCCTAAAGTGAGGTTAATGTTAAGTAAATAAATGTAGTGCAGGGATGAGTCGTTCACTTGTTGTATTCGTTCCTGAGGAATCGGTTCACTCCTAGTACTCGTTTAACATACTTGTTCATTAGGAACCGAAATCGAGAAACGGTTCCTATGAAACGCTGGATTTGAGGAACGAGACCAACCTTGAAATGAGGTTGGTTATCAATGCGATTCTCGTTCATCTCATGATTCGGAATCAGAACGAACAATCATTATCATTTTCCAAAGATTCGAAATCGGTGACTTGTCTCGCGCTAACGACATTTACGCGTTCATGCAACAAATAATTGCAATGGTGCCGACTTACAATTTCCCATGCGATTCATTTCCTTTCGATTCATGAACGACTGGAGGACCTGGACGCAAGTTGTTTATGAATCGAAAATAATTGGTATCTCATGGATACCAACCTAACACGGTACTATCTTCAACTCTCATCAACGGAGCAGGCAAAGATTGTACAATGTTAGGTTGGCATCCATGCGATTCCAATTCTTTTCGATTCATGAACGACTAAAATGAACGACTTGCGTCTGGTTACTGTAGTAGTGCCAAGCGCAAAACTATTCCTGATGAACTGGTTCATTTTGATGTGAATCGTCTAGGATACTGTTCCTTTCGATTACTCGTTCATTTGAACGGTTCGATTCATGAACGACCCAGCACTAAAATTGAAATATCTCCAAGTCCCTTATTAGTTAGGAAGTAAGTAACGGCCAGACTGACCGACGAGGCACCCTCAAGGAGCCAAGGCACAGGCAGGAACTCTGCTGTCATACACTTTGAAGTTGAACCTCGCTCCTGAACTTAATCGCTTAATATACTTATCGCATTTCCGCAAGGCTCAGCTGCCGTCTGATATGCAAATGGTAGAACGTATCAATGACTGTGATAGATGCTACAGAGCTCAAACTTATGGAGCATTTAGGTGGCCAAATTATACACAGCAAAATTTATTTTCCGAATTTTTTTGGTCTTACCCCCTAGAACTGTTCCATTTGATAAAAAAACACTCTCTGCCAAATTTCAGCCAAATTGGATAATATTAACCCGTGCCAACAGAGCCATCTTTTTTAGACATGTGGGATTTTACATTAAAAAACACTTTTTTCCAGAAAAATCCATTTTTCGAAAAATGTGTGATTTCTAGAAAAAATTTGAGGTCATATTCGGCTTCAGCAGGAAAAATTGAGAGGGGAAACATGTATTGGACACTTCAAAAAAAAATTTACCCCTTGTTACAGGGGCAAAACAACTGAAACATCTAGAAAACGCTAAAAAGGGGTAAAATGACGGTAATAAATCTCAAGCAATTACTTAGGCCTGCATCTGAAATCAAAGCTCAACATACAGGGTGATCCAGACCACCCGTCCACCATACTTTTCTCGAAAACGGCGGAGAATTGAGCTTCGGGACCAAAACTTTCATCGGGTAAATCGACCCCAAAGAATCGAATGAAAATATTTTCAGCCCCCCAAAATGGTCCCTCGGGGGGGGGGGTTTGGGGGGGCCCCCCCGTTCCTCGCAATTCTCAAATGGGAAGGGTATGTTTTGACTTTGGATTCGGAATCTGCGGTAAAAAATAAGAACATTTTGTTCTTTGCACTTTTTCCCTAAACCCCCATTTTTTGGAGTTATGGGGCATCTTTGGGGCAATTTTCAATTCGACGCTGTAAGCGGCCAAATCATCCAAATTTCAAAATCTAAAAATCTCCTGAGAGGAGAGGTCAATACCTTTTTAATGATGTGCCACATGACCCCTGTTGCTCCAAAATTTTGGGGGCCACGACCCCCCAAAAATTTTGGGGCTTTGGAGGGCCATGAGTCGAAAATGTCGAAAGGCAAGGGTATGTTTTGACTTCAGATTTGGATTCTACGCGAAAAGTTACGTAGAATTGATATGGCGCATGGCCTGTTTGCTCAAATTTTTTTTTACCCCTTATTTTGTCCAAAAATACACGGCTTCTTATGGGGAAATGGGGTTCTTCAGTAATTTGGAGCAAACAGGCCATGCGCCAAATCAATTCTGCGTACCTTTCGCGTAGAATCCAAATCTGAAGTCAAAACATACCCTTGCCTTTCGACATTTCCGACTCATGGCCCTCCAAAGCCCCAAAATTTTTGGGGGGTCGTGGCCCCTAAAATTTTGGAGCAACAGGGGTCATGTGGCACATCAATAAAAAGGTATTGACCTCTCCTCTCAGGAGATTTTTAGATTTTGAAATTTGGATGATTTGGCCGCTTACTGCGTCGAATTGAAAATTGCCCCAAAAATGCCCCATAACTCCAAAAAATGGGGGTTTAGGGAAAAAGTGCAAAGAACAAAATGTTCTTATTTTTTACCGTAGATTCCGAATCCAAAGTCAAAACATACCCTTCCCATTTGAAAATTGCGAGAAACGGGGGGGCTCCCCCCAAAACCCCCCCAAGGGGCCATTTTGGGGGGCTGAAAATATTTTCATTCGATTCTTTGGGGTCGATTTACCCGATGAAAGTTTTGGTCCCGAAGCTCAATTCTCCGCCGTTTTCGAGAAAAATATGGTGGACGGGTGGTCTGGATCACCCTGTATGTTTGGTGATTCAGAAGTACTTTTTTACGCTGAGTCCGAAAGTGCTATCCATTTTTCTCTGTTCCATCAGGATTTTCCGGAAAATCGATTTTCTTGTATAAAAAGAGGATTTTCCGGGGAAAACTCAATTTTCAGGAAATAAACCTAAATATGAGACGGATGTTTTAAATGTGTTTTTCAACACTTGAGTCCGAAAATGAAGTCAAAGTTGCTCCATTACATCGGGATTTTCCGGAAAATCGATTTTCTCAAAGAAACGGGGTTTTCCGGGGAAAACTTAATTTTTAGGAAATGAACGATCGACTTGTAATAGATGTTTTTGATGTGTTTTAAAACGGTGAATTCAAAAATCATAACCGTTTCCCTCTATTCCATTAGGAGTTTGAAAAAATTTTGACAAAAAATGAAGAGCAAAAACAAAGCATAATTCAGACTGTGAGCAAATATCGCAGGATTTTTAAAAAGTAACAAAAAAATCGATGCAATAAGAACTTTTGAGTAATACATGAAGGCGTTCTTGTACTCTTCCTATATTCCTTGTGAAAATATTTAATGAAGAGTCAATATTACTCAATTTTGCTCACTTTTTCTCCACTTTTGTAGAAATATACATACAACACTGACGGGCATAGGTTTTTTTCCAGAGTGCGTATACAACTTGTGTTTTCGTGTTTTTGTGCCGCTGAGTCAAGAAATGACCTTGTTTTATCCTCGAAATTCACAAGTTTCCCAGGGTACCGAGTTTTCCCTGGAAAATTACCTTTTTTACGGGAAAAATTTAGTTCCTTAGAAACTCCTGGTGGAATAGAGGGAAACGGTTATGATTTTTGAATTCACTGTTAAAAAACACATCAAAAACATCCATTGCAAGTCGATCGTCCATTTCCTAAAAATTAAGTTTTCCCCGGAAAACCCTATTTCTACGAGAAAATCCCGATGTAATGGAGCAACTTTGACTTCATTTTCGGACTCAAGTGTTGAAAAACACATTTAAAACATCCGTCTCATGTATAGGTTAATTTCCTGAAAATTGAGTTTTCCCCGGAAAATCCTCTTTTTATACAAGAAAATCGATTTTCCGGAAAATCCTGATGGAACAGAGAAAAATGGATGGCATTTTCAGACTCAGCGTAAAAAAGTACTTAAGAATCACCTAACATATGTTGAGCTTAGATTTCGGATGCAGGCCTACGTAATTATTTGAGATTTATCACCGTCATTTTACCCCTTTTCAGCGTTTTCTAGATGTTTCAGTTGTTTCGCCCCTGTAACGAGGGGTAAATTTTTTTTTGAAGTGTCCAATACACGTTTTCCCTTTCAATTTTTCCTGCTGAAGCCGAATATGACCTCGAATTTTTTCTAGAAATCACACATTTTCTGAAAAATGATTTTTTCTGAAAAAAAGTGTTTTTCAATGTAAAATCCCACATGTATAAAAAAGATGGCTCTGTCGGCACAGGTTAATATTATCCGATTTGGCTGAAACTTGGCAGAGTATTTTTTGATCAAATGGAACATTTCTAGGGGGTAAGACCAAAAAAATTCCGACACTGCCAAATTTGGGCCACCCTAATGGTGCATGGCCATGCCTCCACTGGGCTGGACTCTTATTGTTTTAATATCTCCACTGATAGGCGGCGCTGACGACCATATGTACCACTGGTGATCATCGACTTTTTCACTGTAGAATAATAAATAGCTTCGCTAAATAGCGTCAGCTAGTTATTATTCTATGTTTTCACTACCCAATGGAGCAGAGCAGACTGATTCCTTGTCCCTTACTTTCTTCACTATCTTTCTACACATTTACATGCATTCCTATGCCTTGTCTCCACGGAACGTTTCATGGAATTTGTCCTAGGGAAAAATCTCATTTGCGAAGTTGGGAAAAAATTTGAGTTAGTCAATACTAATCACAGTGCCAACTAAAAGTCCTTGTTGAATTCCAGGAACGGTTTAAGAATATGAAGAAACTTTGTCCTGTTATTCAACGGGAAAAAAGCCCAGAAGTTTCATTCCTGCGACTCGAATGTGGGAAAAATCCCATGAAACGTCCTGCGGAGACAAGGCATTAAAAATGGTATAAAGTTCTTTTGGAAAATGCTTCAGTCAAAAGAAAAGATCTCATTTACATAATAGAAGTATAACTAGCCTCACTAAATAATAGCGAAGCTATTATTATTTTTTAAGACCACACACCACTGAAGATTCACTTTAAGTGGTACATATATTTATTTAATGGGAAGTATTACTATGGCGAATGTTTATTCTTGTCCAAAAAATGCTTAAGCTTATTCCACGCAGGCTTTAAGTAAATAAATGGTCCTTTGGGTTCAGCCAAAATCCCTAAATTCCCTGTTCCATTAATGTTCCAGCCACCTAGTGCCCATAATTTTGATTGGGTCAAGACAGTTTTTTCTAATTTCTTACTTTTGTCATCTTCTCGTGTATTTACGGAAGAGAAGTTTGTTACTGAGGATTTAAAGAAACTGAAAAAATAATGAAGTGACTTTAGGAATGCTCCCATCTTACTGTCACTCTTCCTCACACAGGCTGTTATTTTTTAATCTGATTCAATCGATGATCTTATGTAAGTAAGACTTTAAAGTGGACGAAAAATGACTGGACTCTTCCTTCTTTTGGTTTTACTTGAAGGAGAACAATTATTAAGGCACAATCTCTCCTAGACATAGACAGGCATTTGTCCCACCGAAACCAAAGGAATTTTTCAAGGCTATACGTCTATGAGGCCCCTCCCACTTTTTACTTTGATTAGGCACCAAATCTATTCCTTCTGCTTCCAGACAAGCCTCATCTAAATTGATGGTTGGAGGTATGATGCCATTTTTGCAGGCTAATATGGTGAAAACTGCTTCTAAACTGCCACTCGCTCCAAGGAGGTGCCCATGTGCACCTTTCGTTGATGAAACTATTAACGAGTCAGTGTGATTTTTTAACACAGATTTGATTGCTTTGAGTTCAATTCCATCTCCCAAAGGAGTAGAAGTTGCGTGGGCATTGATGTATGATACATCTGCTAAATTCAAGCCAGCATCTTTGACAGCCATCCGCATGGCTAATTTAGCACCATGACCATCATCTTGAGGTGCGGTTAAATGCGCGGCGTCGCCTGACAAACCGTAACCTAAAACCTCGGCATATATTTTTGCATTCCTAGAAATAGCATGGCTCAACTCCTCAAGGACTACAATGGCTGCGCCTTCTCCAATGACAAATCCATCTCGCTTCTTGTCAAAAGGCCTGGAAGATTGCTCAGGAAAATCATTGAAGGCTGTGCTAAGGGCTCGTATTCTGCAAAATCCTGCCACTGATAAGGGAGTAATACAAGACTCAGCAGCTCCACACACCATTACATCAGCAAAAGCATTTTGAATAAACCGAAAACCGTCCCCGATTGCATGGGCGCCTGTTGCACAAGCCGTGGAGACAGCATGATTTGGACCTTGAAAACCGAATTCCATACTAATATGACCTGCAGCCATATTGAGTAAGATTTTGGGAACAAAATAAGGACTAACTCTATTGTATCGTGTTTTCAAAGCATCATTAGTTGCACAAATATCATTCAAGCTAACCATACCCATTCCTACTGCAACTCCTGTTCGTTGTTTTGAGTCTTGATTCTGAGGTGACCATTGTGCATCCTTCAAAGCTTCTCGGGCAGCAACTACAGCAAAAACAGTTCCAGGGGCCATTGCTCGAAGTTGCTTGTCATGGAAATGATCGTTAACATTGAATTCTCCTTTTCCAGAACCCAAAGGAATTTGAGCCGCAACTTTGCTTGGAATTGTATCATACGAAGTATTGCTCAGCCGGCTGATTCGACTGTGACCACTAATCAATAAGTTCCAAGCTTCAGGGGTATTATGACCCAGGCAAGACACAGAGCCTATACCAGTCACAACAACTCTCCTCTTCATCCTCGATAAACACCAGGCACACACTTGGTTCTGAGAGGAGAGCTACTCCTGTTTTAAACCATGCACTTAGTAACTCAGACGCAGATAGCAAGAAACTTGAATTTTGGAAGTTTCAAAAATTGACAAAGATGCGAAAATAGGGATCACAATATGAAATTTGAAGTTCGTTTATTCTTACGATCGAGACATTAATAATGCAGGATATTTGATAGAACCATGGAATTTGCGTGGCGGCCAAGCAAAAAATGAAGCTTCTTTTGTTTGCGGGCTTGCGGCTTAGAATAATAAGGTTATGCTTATAGAGGTGTCGTCAGCTAAGTTGAGGTTGACGGTTGTTTACTTTCGGTTTGCAAGCGCCAACCATAGAGTACGCGCCAATGACGAATTTGGGCCTCTGAACTAGAGTACCTATATAGCGAGAGTATGGACAGATCGCTTCATGGAGGGCTTAGGGCCCAAAAGTGCAGCCACCCTAGAGTCCCTTTATACCCAGAGTTAAGACAACTCGATCATCAGCTGACTGGCAGCCGGCCT